CTGTAATCATGATACACAATAGGATTCCAAAAATCTCGCAGCTACGCCTGAGATGAGATATTGCATTGACATCAAGACATAAATGTTATGACATTAGAGTATGATTTAGGGTAGAGACTTCTAGTATCACCAACTGCATTTCACATGTACGAGGCAGGAGGTAATACTAACCAGTAGGTTTGGAACTTGAGCATGCAGTTTTACTTATTGGCAGTTTTACTTATTGCAATTTTTGTGCTATAGAAAAGGAGCTCTCTATTGCTTCATTTGAGTATATATATATATATATATATATATATATATATATATATTTAAATTATCTTTTAATCTTGATGTATAGAAAGCAAGCCAACAAAATACACTTAACAGAGGCAAAAGAAAGATGCTCCACCACACGGGCAGCAAATCCTTTAGACAAATTGTGTGGGAATTGGTATACATTCAAAACTAATTTCTTATTTATTTATAACTACTTTGTTTTTTAGTTTGATGTTGTACTCATTTTTATTTAATATTTGAATAAGGGTGGCAAGTCAGGAAATCCACCTGATGTGGCAAAAATGTTTCATGAAACTCGAAAGAAAGCTAATGAAACACTAGAAAATGGGGATCAAGATAAATATGTAAGTAGAATATGTGTTTAAGTTTGATAATGATGCATTATATAGTACTAACATATGAATTTAATTTTTATAGGATGAAATTGTTCAAGTCAAACAAGCAAACCCGTCACTTTCTGACATTGAGATAGTTGAGAAAATCTGGGGGAAGCAATCTCATGGTCACATCACTGTATTTGGTGGTGGGACAACTTTAAAAGATTTGAGAGAACCACTCCCTAGTCGATCTGATCTGAAAGCACGGGTTGTAGAAGAAAAGAAAAAGAACCAGATGCTTCAACAACGCTTAGATGATCAGGAGCAACAACAACAAAGGATGTCTGAGTTGGAGTCGCAAGTAAAAGCTATGCAAGAACTTTTTTTTAGGCAATCACCTTCATTGACTCCTCAAACTCGAGAACATGTGCATGACTAGGTAATTATTTTTTGTAAAATCTCGTATATACTTTTATGATTGACTACTTGCACTAAAAAATGTGATTTTTACTTAATAAGATAATATTTGCTTAATTAATATTTCTTAATTATGTGATTTTTTTTTAAATTTTCAGGCTATCCATACAAGATTAGGAGGGGGGTAGCTCGAGTCTTCTTTTGATGATGATTAGAGATGAAAGAATGTGTCTTTCCCAAACTTTTATTTTAATTTGTTTTAGATAGTTTCATGTATTTTTTTGGAACAATTAGGATATTAACTCAGCTTGTTATTAGTATTGAATATTTGAGGATGGTGGAATTTTATTTATTGATGTTATTAATGAATGGAATTTTTATTTTTCCTCTTATTCATTATTGGATATTTTTAATATATTTTTGTTGTGAATCTTAGTGTCAGGTTGAGAATAATATGATAGTTGCCTATTAATAAAAAAATTATTTTTAATATATATTAGAAATTTGTAGTCTACAATGACGGTTTTATAAACCGTATTTTGTTCATCAACGAAGGGAAAGCACCGTCGTTGATGGGTTACTAATTACCCATTATAAGGACTTTTACGACGGTATCCAACCGTCATTAATTAGTCTTCAACGATGGGAAAATATTCCCGTAACTAATGGTCACAACGGGAAAATATCCCCGTAACTAATGGTAACGACAGGAAAATATCCCCGTAACTAATGGTAACGACGGGAAAATATCCCGTCACTAATGGTAACGACGGGAAAATATCCCCGTCAATGATGGTAACGACGGTGATAATTACCGTCGTAAATATTAATGACGGTAATATGTTTCGTCGTTATAGACTTTATAACGACGGGTATTATATCCCCGTCGTAAATATTAATGACGGTAATATGTTTCGTCGTTATAGACTTTATAACGACGGGTATTATATCCCTTCGTGACCCTTTAGCGAAGAGGGCTTCAACGACGGGTGACGAAGGGATTTTTCCCCGTCGTTAGCATACAATAACGACGATTTTCAGCTCTTTAACGAAGGGAAATCCCTTCGTTAAAGATGTAATTTCTTGTAGTGTTGGTTTATTTTTAAAGGTAAGAAAGGAGATGAAATGAGATGAGTTGGAAGATAAAAATAATATTTTATTGGATGTTGTGGGTGAGTTTTAAGGATGGAAATGGATAAAAATACTATTTTATTGATTTCCTTAATTGTACCGATTTCTTTTTCTTGATTTTTAGGAAACCAACCAAACGGACCCTTCCTCAAAAAAAAAAAAAATTGATTTCCTTAAGTATGTGTCACATCATCTAATAATATACCTCCAACTCATCTCATCTTATCTATTTTCTTATTTTTAAAAATGAACCAAACACAAACAACCTTAAAACATCATCCAATAATATACCTCCAATTCATTTCATTATTTTTTTAACCAACCAAACAACCTCAAAACAATTTTTTTTTAAAATCACTCACATCATCCAATAATAAGATGACAACTCATCTCATTTTATCTCCTATTCTATAATTTCTTTCTTTTTTAAACCAACCAAACAACCTCAAAACAATTATTATAGGAAATAGGTTTCCTATTCTTTAATTTCCCAAAAAATTTTGCGAAACGAACAGCCCCTAAATCCAGCAGGTCCCAGAGCCAACTTAAATATATGACTCACACATTATACACGTTCGCCTATTATTAATCAAATCTTTAGGAATCTTTCATTAAGGCCCTATCATCCTACTAACACAATGCGCTAGCTGCTAGTAATTACTTTGATTTAGACTAGCGACGACTCGCGCGTACTGATCAAACAAGCACGCTCTGATCGATTTGTTGGGTTTTATGTGCACCGCAGATCAACCACGTCGGCACGATTAGTGAAGCCAGCAGTAATAGTAAGATAGGGCAGCAGGTCCCTCAATTTGTAAAAGAAATTGTTTAATTATCGTCGCTGACAGCTGTCATCTGCATGCCTCGCCAAAATTCTATCGCCGTTTAAAGCCCGATGAAGCTGCCCGTCGCAATCAATCCAATAAACATCTATCAAGATTCAACTTAAGTTAGTGTTTTTATTTTTATTTTTAAGGACCATAATCATAATCATGATGAAAGAAGTGGTGAAAAGTTAACAATAAACACCTACATGCTGCAGTATCCACCAACCGCAGACCCATAAATGTTACTGCAGTAATACTGTAGCAATAGTGCGCACCTGCCACAAACTCACGTATATATAGCTCTTCCCAGCCTTAAGTTCAGATCATCCCATTGTCTCCAATTAAGAGTGGAAAAAAGAGAGAGACTCAGAGAGAAAGAAAGAAAGAAAATTAGACAGTGTTTCTTCTTGGAAAGAGAGATTGCAACTCTTAAATTTTTCTCATAGTGGATTATTCTATCTTTGCCCATGGTTTTTATCCCAAATCCATTTAGGGGGTTTTCCACGTAAATGTGTGTTCATTTTATTACTTACGTTCTATTATTCGCTGAGACTTTGCTCTATTGGGCCCCAGGTTTGTCCTAAGAATGACGCAGCGCAGAAGTAGTAGCATCGGAATCCACCGAGGATAATCTTCGAATCCACGAAGAGCTTGGAATCCACAAAGTAAATATTAAAGAAAAACAAAATTTTATTAATCAAAAGTTATACCTCTAGGACTTACAAGACCCTACTTAAATAGAAAAGAAACAAGACTTTTACAAGGACCCAAACTCCTACAATGACTCTAACTTACCAAAAATAGTAAAAGAATTCCTAAAATATTAAAACTCCTAAAAAGACTCCTTACGACTAGGAAAGTCCACCGGTCAAATCTGAGATCAAATCTGTTTTGTTTCCTAATCAAAACAGACTCTTAAAGCATTACTAAAAATAGTAAAAAACGGACAAAAATGCAGATATCCCTCAAACCGTAAGGAATTTGGCGAAACGAATGAAGCAAACCAAACCTTTGGGGGTAGGTTTGGATGGTTCCATCTCGTCGAGATAGTCGGTTTTCATATATAATCCGTCCAATTCCGACGTACGGTTTGAAAGTTATGACCGTTTCTTCGAAACAAATTATTTTCTTCGACCAAACCCGTATTTGGGCTTGCGACTGTCCCACTTTGATATAAACGTGCATGTCGTGTGTTCTACATCAAACAAGAAGATGACAATTAGACTACAACTTGAAATAACCAACGGGTGGTGAGCTACATATCAACTCTCCGGTCAAATTTGGATAGGAAAATTTAAACCCGCTAATTGTGTAGAAAAAAGGGCGACAAGATGCGCATGCATGTAAATCAGTAAATGGCATGACGAGGGCAAGAACCGGTGCTTTTGCTCAAAAGAGTAGTCCAAGTATTTTCTCCCGTCGTATGTAACAAGTCTATTATGTCCTCATCGTCGGACACGACACCGAACGCATTAATTTGGAACTCAGGCCCACACCTCCACTTGATTAAACGCATTCCCCATCTACTGACAAAAAATGATATTAATTTTGTTCAGAATTCAGTTCTGCAAGCAAACAAATTAGGGGTTTTATAGGCCCAATGATAAGTCCCCTTCCTAGTCTCCACTCAATTTTCAAAGGAACGTCGTAGCTGAAGAGAGAGAAAAATCCTATGACTCCCTGTATGGAAAAATATATGGGGAAATAGGGGTAAAAATAACTCATGACGATTTTGTAATAATTTTGATGCATACATCACTATCAACTATTTACAGCGTCTATCAGTATGATTGTTATCGATGAAATCCCTATTAGTATCGTGGACCGGAACTCATTGAAAATCTAATTGTATTGATAGCTAATAGTGATGTGTCCATCAATACTCTCGGTAGGCTAGACGTCTGCTCTACCTCCCTGTATGAATTTCTAGGACCCTCTATAGGATATATATTTTGTCCACGTGAGCTAGCAGCCTTCACATTATATTGCACAAGCTGTGACCTCACCCTTTGCGTCTTCTTCCCTCTGTCGCCATAGTCTCACCGAATCTGAGCTTAATTTCGGCAATTTATAAGACCCTCATTTGTGCTCAAAGAGAAGCAGTCGACTCCAGAGTAGGAGGAGGAGACTAGCTAATAAATTAAGAATGAAGAAATCTTTGTTCTTCAGTCCTCTGTTTTACTACCTAAGGTGCGCACAACCGTCTTCTTCTTCAAACTCTAAAGAGGCAGAAAAGGAGGAGGATTTGAAAACTGAAGCAGAGAAAAGGAGACCGAGAGGATGGAAATGCATGCCCTATATCATTGGTATATCCTTCTATTCTCAGATTAATATATATGTTGTGCGCCAATTTAGGCTCACATTTGGCTCATTTAATTCTAATTCTCTGCATTTGATTTTAGTTAATTCTATATTACCAAAGTAAACCAAATAATTAACAAACAAGGTTGTTAATTTTTCATCTAACAATTATGTTATGTTGATTTTCATTCACCAGCAGACAAGTAACTTTTTATATTCGACGCATGAACAAATAGAACTTTACTAGGTGTATATTCGATTCTTTTGTAGACAAATAACGTTTAATATTCATTTAAACTTTGATTGCTTATAATCTACACAGTTATGTTAAGTGTTAACCCATTATATTTCATACTTAAGTTTTATACTAATTTTGACTGGCTTAAAAAGATGTCAGTACTTGTTTAACCAGATATTCAAATTATATATCTATACATCATAAGTATAAAGGAATAACTTTCCTTTATGAATTTAAATCATATTGAAAAAAATATATATATATTTCTTAAGCAAAATGAAAGCATGTTTTTAACCAAATAAAAAAAGCATCTTCTTAATAATAAAGTTCAGTATTTATAAACTAAACTTATTAATCAGCTAGATATAATTTAATATTCAAGTAATATTCATGAATATTCAAAAAAAAATCCATGCTCGAATTTATAATTAAAGAAAAATCAGAGAAGGATATTCAATTCGATGTTGGATACGAATTTGAAGATCTTCAGCCAGTACAAATACAAATGACTTTGCTGATGATAGTAAGTAACGGTAGTTTAATTATAGAATTTTTAGATAACATGAAATCTAAATGTCACTTTTCACAACTTTGGATTGGTCTATCAAGCGCCTGTTCGGTTGCCCGAAAAATAGAAAAAAGTATTAGGGGAAACCCAATTCGTATAACATTTTTTTATTTTATTTTATTTAGTTTGATTCTCACTTTGAAAATTAACCAAGAGGGTGGGTATAGTGATGTGGCCACCCCCTGCGGTTATTGTCGTAGGAAATCGCTTAAAATCATTTCCTGGTGTTTCTCTTCTTTGATTATCGTTTTTATTTCCACGGGGTTTCTAGCAAATTAACCAATATTTATGCAGCCCCTGAAGAGAGTCCATCTTAATTACTCCCTCTCTCTCTTTCCGACAAACACCTAGCTTACTAATTAAAACTCGTATAACATTAATCATGAGTACAGCTTAATTAATTTTGTTAATTCATTCGTATATAGATGCGTGCGCCTTTTTCATTCATTTGCGCTAGCTGTACGTATAGGTAACGAGACGTTCGAGAAGGTGGCGTCGGTTGGGCTTCTCTCCAACTTCACCGTGTATCTGGTGAAGGAGTTCAAGATGCAGCAGGTGTCCGCAGCAAATCTTGCCAACATCTTCTTTGGTACGACAAACTTCGCGCCGCTGCTGGGGGCCTTCGTCTCTGACGCGTACTGGGGCAGATTTCGTACCCTCGCCTACTCCTCGATTGCTTCCTTCATAGTACCCTTCGTCATCTCCCCTAACCCCACGATTCATTCTTTTAATTTGGCCATTAATTATTACATCGACACATAAACAAAGAAGTAATTAATAAGTCAAATAACCCACTGATGCAAGAGTTGGTACGTCAACCGCAACCACAATCTGTAGATCTCTGGAGTGCACAGGTGGAGGGGGTTTCACAATAGTTTATATACCAGACGCGAATTTGGAGTACCTTCCCCGTTAAGAAAAAAAAAAAATTAGTAGAGAGGATATTACTTTATTATCATTAGTTGTTGATTTACCTAGCGGGTATTTATGATTCATAATAAATTTAAAATCCCATGTCAAAGAAAAATCACAATTACGTACAAATAAATTCAACGAATACCGTTCATTCCCTATATTAATAACTCATGTTTGTTTCATTTCCAAAGAATAAAAAAAGAACCATCATAGAGAGAGAGAGAAAAAAAGTTGAGCTGGCAAATATGTTAATTTTTTAGCACATTTCCAAGCCAAAAGATAGGATTTGTGTTGTCCAAAAAAGTCATTGTTTTCTCTCTTTTTAAGAAATGTTTTCTTAAAAAAATTGAAACAAACCTAACTTTTGGAATCCTATAATAGCCCAAAACCTACTTTTTATTCTAAAAATACTACTTTCCTAAAATTTTTGCCCAAACAAACAGCCCCCTAGCATGCGTGTGTAAGTAGGAGGACAACTACCTATTAATTATGACTATTAAGTTAGTCCCAAAGTGATATGTTCCCTTAAAAAAATCGTCCTGTGATATGCACCTAATATATACAAAGATGTTCGGGACTAGTATAATACACATGTTTTACATGTGAATGTACATATTTTAACTTTTGATTTTTTTTTATTTATTAGTAAAACTATGTGTTAAATAAATAAAATTGCATAATAAGATTGCTTAAAAAATGTATGAATTAATTATTATTGTGTAGTTGTTGTAATTAAACGTTTTTCTTATAATGATCGCCCAGTGTTAATCTCTTTTAAATAAGTTACCAAAATCTAAAATCATTCCTGAATAAAATAATCAATTCCATAAGTTCTCTTAATTATGCCCCTCCAACTTGAAAGTTGTTAACTTGACTCTAAATTAACTAAGTTGCATTAATCTTGCTAGTTTTTCCCTCATGTTCCTTAGATAGTTACATTGATATACGCAATATATTATAATAATTACTTCTCATTATAATTATTCAATAGGGTATATATGTAATATACTATTATGAACTTTCAACCCCTATGAACTTTTAAAATCACAATAAACTCCTAATGGCTTTTTTGTTTCAAAGAAAACCCTAATAACTTTCTGAATTTTGTAGATAACCCCTATAAATTAGAACTGAAAATATCATAAAAAGGCATTTTGAAGTTATTACCGGGTTTGGTGTAATTTGTCTAAAAGAAATTGGGGGCTTTCTACCAAAGTTAATAGGGGTTTAGTGTGATTTTAAAAGTTCATACGGTCTATTTACTACAAAATGCTAAAAGTTCATGGGGGTTTACTGTAATTTACCTTATTTATTATTATAATTCTTAGTTCAAGTAACATTATTAAAATAAGTATACCATCTATATACTATAAAATATTTATCTAATTTAATTTTTTTAATTATGCTCTTAAATAATTTAGTACTATAAATATTTTATAAATTTTCATTATACTAGTATTAACAATTAATAGTACTATTATTAATATTAAATAACTTTTTTGTAAAAAGGTTAGTAGTCAATCATTACCAAGTATAGATTATTCAGTATCATGTAATAATCTTTAAAAAATACTCTAAAAATAATATTAAATTATTTATTTAATATATTTAATTATATAATACTAATAAAAATAGTGTAATTCATAATTTATGTGATATGATTAAAATAATTATAGCATTTATGTGATTAAATATTAATTATATTTATTTTGTTGCTCGTTGATTATTTTTAATAGTATTTAGTATTATATTATTCTATTATATTATTATTTTAATTATTTTATTTTAATTCATAGATAATTATTATAATAATTTAATTGGTTACTACTAATAATTGTGTATACTTATTTTATAAATTGTTTTATTTTATTGTTTTTAAATAATTAATAGTTATAATATTATTGATAATTATAATTATTTAGTAAGGTGAGGAGGTGCATAATCAATAAGATGTTATATTTTTTTAATTAAAGATTAATTAGAAAGAATGACATAGTTAAAATTGATCAAAATTTTGAGAGGACAAAAAAGAAAATGATTCAAATCCGTCACAACAGCATTAGTTGATAGTTTTCCAACTTTTGGTGAAGCCTAATCCCCATGTGATATGTTCCCTTAAAAAAAAAAACCGTTATTTGCACCTAGAGGGTGTTTAGGAAGACTTATTTTTAAAAGCTTATAAGTTATGTTGGCTTTTTGTTGCTTTTAGTTTTTATGATAAAAATATTAAAAAAATTATTTGGGTAGAGTAGTAATTTGTTTGGTCAAACTTAGCTTATACAGGTGAGCTTATAAGCTATTTTTTTTTAAAAGCTGGGGTACACCAGCTTTTGAAAATGACACTTACAAGCTAACTTATTTATTACTTTGCCAAATAGGTAGAAATAAAAAAGCTAGCTTAAAAGCTAGTTTGATCAAGAAATAAGCCTCCCCAAACACCATCCTAACCTATACAAAGACGCTTATTCGGTTTTATAGAGACGGATGTAATTATCGTGCACTGCACACCGAGCCCCAAATAAGCATCCAATGAAGGCCCAATTAAACAATGGGCTCTGATTCACACTTGCTTGGAATTGAAGGGCCATATTTAGAAGATGGACTAGCTCGGCAAGTTCAATTGGGCTAATTGACTCGATGATTAACCTTATTTGAGCCACGAGCCTAAGCAGATTGAACCATGTATATAACTATTGTGCTCCAATCCAACGCGAGATTGAATCTCACCACCTGCACTTTTCTAATCTAAACTTACGAATTCGGGACACTTATTAATAATAATTAGAAAGGATTTGTGCGGTATCAGATGCATTACAAATAGGAAACTGCACTCGGCTGGTATATTAATATGGCATCTTTTTCGTTTGTTCTTCTCATCTTCAGGGAATGTTGACAATGACGTTGAGCGCCTCAATCCCCCAGCTGAAACCATCAGATTGCAGTGAAGCAGACCAGAGTGCCGGCCACTGCAAAGGCCCATCTGACCTGCAATACAGCATCCTATTCCTCGCCCTCGGTCTACTGGCCGTTGGCGCAGGCGGAGTTCGGCCATGCAGCCTCCCCTTTGGCGTAGACCAGTTCGATCGCACTACCGAAAAAGGCCAGAGAGGACTCAACAGCTTCTTTAATTGGTACTACTTCACCTCGACGGCAGCGATGGTAACGTCCATGACCTTCATTGTCTACATTCAGAACAGCGTCAGTTGGCCCATTGGCTTCGCGATTCCAACGGGTTTCATGCTCCTCTCCGTAGTCGCCTTCTTCCTCGGTACCAAGCTCTATGTCTACGTCGCCCCCGAAGGAAGTGTTTTCTCTAGTATCGCCCAGGTGTTTGTCGCCGCGTTCAAGAAGAGAAAACTCCAAGTCCCGTCTCCAGACGATGTGTTGAGTCAGGAGTCACGACTGTATTGCCCGTTCAATAGGAGCGAGAATGTCTCCAAGCTCCCCCTCACATTACAATTTAGGTAACTATTTCTTCACATCTTTGTATTAAGCGGCCGGGTGCTGGTGTATCCTCCACGGTCCTAATTGTGTCGGCCTGAGACGTATGTTCACGCACGCCAGGAGCACACCAGGTCCTGTTTACTGTTATGAATTTTACATAGCTAACATGATGCATGTTTTATTCTCCGTGTCAAATTCAGGTCGTTGAACAAAGCCGCTGTTGTATGCGATGGTGAGCTAAACCCAGAAGGTAATCCAGTGAATCCCTGGAGATTATGCAGCGTTCAGCAGATTGAGGAAGTGAAATGCTTGATAAGAATAATACCCATATGGGCTTCCGGAATCACATGCTTCGTCGCATTAGTCCAACAATTTACGTTCGCGATTCTTCAAGCCCTAACCATGGATCGCCATCTCGGCCCACACTTTCAAATCCCTGCAGGTTCTCTCGCCACCATCTCCATGCTAGCCTTAACCTTATTCATCCCTGTCTACGACCGTATCCTCATTCCCATCGTGAGAAGATTCACGAAGATTGAGTCGGGCATCACTCTTCTCCAACGGCAGGGAGTGGGTATATTCATCTCTGTACTGTCCATGATTGTTGCTGCGCTGATAGAACAAAAGAGGAGGATCTCCGCAGTGTCTCATGGGGGCACGTCTCCGTTATCGGTACTATGGCTCGTGCCACAACTAGTACTGATAGTGTCTCATGGGGGCACGTCTCCGTTATCGGTACTATGGCTCGTGCCACAACTAGTACTGATGGGAATAGCCGAGGCGTTCAATGCGATAGGTCAGATTGAGTTCTACAACAGGCAGTTTCCTGAGCATATGCAGACATTAGCAGGCTCCCTGTTCTTCTGCAGTCTTGCGGGAGCCAGCTATCTGAGTACTTTCGTTGTGACTATTGTGCAAAAGATCACCGAGGAAGGAGGACGAACGAGCTGGCTCGACAACGACATTAACAAGGGAAGAGTGGATTATTTCTATTATGTTATAGCCATCATGGGAGTATGTAATCTGTTCTATTTCCTTGTGTGTTCCCATTACTACCGATACAAGGGCACAGGCGGTCATGAAGTGAAGGAAGAGACTCGAAAAGAAGTGGAGCTTCCATGAATGGGAGTCAAATTGTTCTCTTTCAGGGTTTTATAGTTTGCTGCTCATATTGTATAGATAGTAGAGGATCAAAGAAGGAAATATGCTACACCTAAATATAAATTAATTTGTGCGGAGTTGGTGTATTATATATCATGTACTATTAGTA